TTCTTGACTCTAAAAAATCAAGGCACAGAAAGGCAAAGTTTAAACGTTTTGAAAAACAGTTTAGGGACTTATATCCAAATCTTATTTTCAAACATGATTTAAGCGCTTCAGTTAGCACTCTCAAGCAGCACACAGAAATGTCTTTTGTAGGATGCTAAGTGAAAGTTGTTCTCTCAAGTGCTACTTAGAAAGGCAAATCTGGAGGAGACTTGGATGCCTCTGACATTCTCAGACATGAGAATGTGTCTGTCACTTCTGCCAAACACAGGTAAATGTTGAACAAAGTATAGCTGGTAGACAATCTTAACCTGTTGTAATAATCCTCTCTAAAATTGTTTAAAAGGAAGAGGAGAGAATGAAGAAACCATCCTAAATGTCTGTTTCAATGGAAGAATGTATTTATTAAGGGTATATTTATTTCAGCTATTTGTAGTCTGGTACTGCTATTCAGCTGAAAGGTGCCACGATCTATGACTGTGCGTGAGGACTGAACCCCTAAAAAAGTCTCAGGTTTGACACAGTGACAATAGTGGGAGATCTCGTGCTTTGAGCACATAAACCCAGGAAAAAAAAGCACTCAGCTGGAAAGGAGCGGAACGCTTCGTGGCTCAGAGCCTACTGATCATAATACTTTTTGGGAGATGTTTCCTTCTGTTTTAGGGAGGGGGCTGGGGGACCATGTATTTAGTTTTTTCTATGATGTAAAAAGCTGTAATGTCGTTTGTTGTTCATTATCAAAAAAGTAAATATGAACACATTAGGAATTCGAGATGCGTTTTAGACTTCAGGTGAAGATGCATTTTCAGAACAATTTAAAGCTTACGTGTTTGTACTGCCTGAATGGATGCTTCCTGTGTTTTGGTGTTAAGGTTATATTAAGTTAATTATCATGAAAATTTTAGACTTTTTATTTAAGATTACATTTAATTGGCCTGCCTTTACTGATCATGTATATAACACATATATAGAAACGTGAAAAAGGATAAGGCTGCTGGCTGTATCCTTGTTTCTTCTATAGCATAATGAGCAATGAATCACTGTGAACTCAGGAATTTCCTCTTGCCCCAAAGAAATTTTAAGGAAAGGTTGTGTATTGTGAAACAAATACAGTTTATTTTATTGCACTTGACTCACATCTACATTTGTGGGAAATAAATGGCAGATTCTTACTGACATGAGCAGGAGGAGGACAAGACCTCGGTGCATCAGGTGTGCAGTCTGTGTTACTAGCCTTGAGTGAAACTCGAAGAACAGCTGCCCCGCAGGAGAAAATACAGTGTTCTGCAACATCTGTGAAGGAGAGAGGAAGTTCTTAGCTCACCTAAAGATGATTTTTATCATTACTAGGGCTATGTTTTCCCTCTGGAGAAATGGATTAAAATCAAAGTTGACGAAGTGTCTCGAAATGTCTGTATCTTACTAATAGTATCAATACAAGGCAACCTCTGTTTTAACATATAAAGTAGTCTGAAGTTTTCACTTTCAGATTGATTTTCCATAAACTCAGTCTCACAATTTAAAACAAAGTCATCTCTAATTTAGGCAGTTGAAGGCTGTTTAGCATTATTGAAGTCATGATTGAAATCTTCAAATTTTCCAATGTTTGAAGAGATTCTTGTGCAAAATACTTTCTCCTAAATCTAGGAAGTACCTCTGTTTTGACATCGTAGCATCCTTGAATCTCTAATGCTCCAAAAGCAACAGGTTATGTTCCATTTAATGGTAAATTATGCCACAGTTACTTTTGGCTTACTGGATGATACTGTGCTTTGGGAGCTGACCCCCCCCAAAAAAAGACAAGCTGGCCTGTGGCAGGGGTTGAATGTCGCCTGTCTGCAGCAGTTCGCTGGGCTGCATCGCTTGCACTGTTTGTGAGACTGAGGGACAGAGATGGTTTTTTTAATGTGTAACATAAAATATACATCAATTCCTATAGGACAGCTGTACCTAAAGCTAGAAATCACTGCATAAACCAGTTGATACTAAGAGAGTGCTGTTCTGAGTAAGCCAGATTTCTTTTCCTGTGCAGCCCCCTGCTAGGTTCTGGGTGGGAGAAGTGACTGCATTAGGGTCGGTACTTCTCACCCACTGCCTCGGGGTGCCTGCAAGTGTGCCATAGTTTTCAAGCAGTTAGAAGTGTGGGCTTCTCCTTGTGCCTTAGCCTAGTGTAAGTATGGCCTGAAAATGAAAATAAAATGTAACGGGGGTTTCCTCCAAGGAGACCTACTTCGCTTAACTGGCAAAAGATGCCTAGAATATGCCATACTGGAGATAGGAAGATTGCTCTGAGCAGCACTTGAGCACAGTTACAATAACATCCAAACCCAGTGGTTTCTGTTAAATAAACGAAGGTTTTGATTAGGAGGCAGGGTTTTGAGACCACAAGTGCTATTACAAATTTTCCAAATGAATACTTTTGGGGGAATGGGGATTGTTATCGAGTATTTGATTGCAATATAGAGTGATTTAGTATATCAAGTACTGTTTTTCCCATGTCGTGGGAAGTAGCTTGGGATCTTAAGCAAAGTCAGTCAAGTGTTCCCTTGTAGTCCAGTCCTCATTACAAAAATGCCAAATAAATAGGCATGATTTGCTCAGCAATCAAGAAGCACGGAAGTCAAGCTAACATTGACTGCATTGCAGCCTTTCAGTACACTTTCAAAGCCAGTGGTGTGAAAAAGGGGTTTATTACACAGATGTTTCCACCGTGGCTGGTAAGAGGGGAAATGTAGTATGTATTTATAATGCTGTCAAGTTCAGATTTCCTAATTTTGGTAGCCTTTTGTAAAGGAGTAGCTCACTGAAATCAGAGATTCAGCTAACAGATCTGAGAAAACTTAGCTTCCATTTTACAGCTTTACAGCATTCAAAAAATGGAGTAAGAGAAATACGGGGAGCTCTCCGAGTATTTTGTATAGTAAAACCATGTGTTGTAGTTCTTCTAGACATCCCTGTGTGGGAGCAGACTGTTCTAACTATTTTAGGATAAAATCATACAGTATATTCTTCTGTTAGTGAAAATGGACATTAAAAAAAATAAACCCTTAGGTATACTAACATCCGTGAATTAAACTCTGTACAGACTAATCCTTTAATGATTGGTTCAAAACAGTAGGAATAATTTATTTTGGGTGGCGTTTTACGGTGATATTCATAGAGGAAGTAACTGAAAATCTTTAACTCAGAAATACATTTTTATATAGCAATCATTTATTTTTATCAATCAGTCTACAAGAATGTGTCTGTAAAAGCAAACTGATAACTGTATATGATAGGCTCTCTGTTACGGAGGACTATTTACCCTCCAGCTTCTCATTTCTTGCTGCTGCTTTTGCCTTTGTAGTTTCTGCTTGCACTTTGCTACTTACTTCTGCATCTGTAGTTTTGCTGCCTCATCTCACAGTGCTCTCTGCAGGATCACCCGTACACTTTTTATAGCCATATGTCGAATCCATTGGTAGGTGACATTGTGAAAATATGATGCATTTTACCACCTTTGATGGCTTTGATTGTACCCTCAAGATAAAGCACAGATTCTGTGCAGTTGTTCATTTAGACACATAAATAAGTAGACTTTATGTGTCCTTGATTTTTACCCCGCTTTTGTTCCTTACTCTCTTTCAATATGCTGAAATGTATGTATGTTTACTTATCCTATAATTGTATTTTAAGGATTTAGCTGAATTTGAAGTTTTTGTTAATGAATCAATTTATTGGACTTTGGGATTTTCATTTTATTAAATCTGTTTTTCCTAAAAAGGAAGATAGAACTGTGCATCTTTCCTCAGAATCTTTCCATAAAGTACATTACATTTTTTTTTCTCTAAAATTACCAATGTTAACTATATTTATGACTGTTGTTTGGTATAACCACAATTCTTTTGGAACAGAATTTGTTTAACTTTTATAGGTTGACAGAAGTTTTAAGTGAAGCAAGTAATGTACAGTGTATAATAGTTGTAATTATGAGAATGCATTGATTTTGGTGTTACAGTTACATGATCTGAAGTTAGGCATGGGAGACAGAGAGGTTTCTAGAGCCAGTTTTAACTCACAGATTTTTATATATTTTTTTAGTTTCTTCATTTTGAAGAGAAGACTAGTTGAAACTTGCTCTGATTCAACTATGTACAGCACACTTTAGAGATTTGCCTTTTCCAATACTGTAAGAATTCTTCTAAGGTCAAGTCATGATACACAGAAAAATACATCGATATACTGTGATTTACATACCAGATTGTGCCATTTTGAAGTTTGCACTATGCAAAAATATGAATGTAATGAAAATTAAAGTAGATGAAAGGCACTGCTATACAGGAAAATCTTTCATTTAAACTGACATACGTGAGAGAAAAAAATTCCGACTTTAAAACTGAATTTAGATGCAGTAAAATACCTCCCCTGAAAGGATGGGAATTGTTTTTTAAGTAAAGACTAATGAATTTGTCTGTTCAGTTGAAGGGTGTAATTCACCAATTTGCTGTAGTATGACCAATGCATCTGGAGTTACCCACTGGAGGAACCAGGCTTATGAAGAGCTGCCACAGTTGGAAGTTTCCATATGATTGTCTTGTGTTTCCTTTGGTAGTAGCTGCCTGTGTTTGCTTGCAGGTGGCTATCTTAGATCGCAAGTTCACTCTGAACAGAAAAGGGGGAGGAAGAAAGAAATTGTTAAATCTTTTGTATTTCATTGCCAACAGTATTACACCTGATGAGATGAAATCGTGTACCTACTTGGAATATCTGCTCTGATACTGTTCTAAATTGCGATGCGTGGTGTGAATAATCTCATAAACGTATATCACTTCTGTTTTCACTCGAAGAACCAGCTTGCAGCAAAATTAATTGTATGGTGGTGTTGTTTTGGGATTTTTCTGAGTATTGAAGAAGTATACAACATAAGCACCCTGAAAATTTTTGTGAATTGTCATGTAGTACAAAATATCTTTCAATTTATTCATCTGTTTGTTTCTTTGTTTGTTTATTCTGTTTTACTGTAGGCAGAGAATTCAGCGCTGGCTCTGGAAAATGAAAATCAGAGAGAACAGTATGAAAGATGTCTTGATGAGGTAAGGTAGATAAAAAGTTTGTTCTTACCTGATACTGTAATTAAATGGATAGAAATTAATCTCTCCCTCTTTTACAGCGTTGACGTTTTTCTGCAATTTTCTAGTATTACCTCATTCTAATTAGTTCCAAGAACACGTGTCTGGCAGACACACGTTTTCCATTACTTCTGCTCTATATATCCAGTTTTGACCACACCTTTTCATCCAAAAGTTGATATCCTTGTGACCAATATTTGGAACAGTTTTGCTTTCATTAGGAGGAGAAAATGATTATTTGCCAGTTAGGTGTTGTTTGCTCCTTTCCTGTAGACTAGAACACACATGGCGGTGGATTCTTCTATCAAAATTCCCCAGGCTTTCCTATGAAATGTACTTGCTAACCAGGGAATTTAATCTCTCAGCTCCCACTTAGGATTATATACACAGCTTTTTATGCTGGTTTTTTCCCAGTTGTTGACTTACTTCTACAACATGGCTCAGCTTCTGATCAGACCTCCTGGTTACAGCTACAATATAACTCACCCGTCAGTTACTGTCTGGGCACTTCAGCAATGCTTAGCATTCCAGAAATGTCTAGTGGATGTTGAAAAGTTTCTTAGTGGAAGTCATTAGAAGTTGTTAACCCGTTCCCTAATATGAATGTGTAGTAGTGTAAGTAGGTAGCTAACATGCAAACAAAATGTGAACAAAACTGTACCAGCTTCTCAGCTGTACCTTTGAGAAAAGCGTGTATAAGTGTGCAAACCACAACAGCAGGTGACAAATCACATCTTCATACCAGCTTTTTAAATTTTTAATTAGCATTTGCTGAAGTGTTACTGGCATGAGCAATACAGCTCTGGTACAAGAAGCCTTCACTTCAGTGCAGATTTTCATCAGCAAATCCACACTTTTTGCCACTAAAGCATATTTTTATCAGGGAGCTGGAATAAAAGACTTGCAAGATACACTTTCCCACTGCATTATGCTCTGCCTATTCTGTGGCACTGGGATACCAGCAGAGCCTTGGTCTATTTTGGCCTGAGACACTTCATTCAGTGAGTGCACACTTGAATGATATTTTCATATCTTGGTGATAAGGATGAAATTACCATGGAGCTACTAACTTTAGTTTAACTTACAGAGCTTAAATTTATTTTCTAACTGTCTAGGACAATATCTGCCCACATAATTAATTTTGGTAATAAGTAAAGCACCATAACTCTCCATTCCAGTAAAACACTCCATACCAATTACAAGGACAGAAGATATGTTTTTATTGTGTTTGCAGGGGCCGGTTAGCTCAGTTGGCTGAGCCTGGTGCTGATAACACCAAGGTCGTGGGTTCGATTCCCATTTGGTCCCCATGTATTGCCTGATCTAGTTGAGAGGCGTCCCTGCCTGTGACAGGGAGGTTGGATTAAATGATCTCTAAGGTCCCTTCCAACCCAGGCCATTCTATGATGGATTTCTGATCCAGGGTTGTGTTTTGTATATGCTGTTGCAGTTTGAAGAGCAAATGATTATATCAAACTATGCTCTGAAGTTTATTGACTTCAACATTATGTTGGCAGTTTTCAGTTCTTCTGTATTATCACAGCTGTATCCATCTTCTCCCACTGTGTCAACCTTTTCAGGAGAAAATGCTTCTCACATTACCTGTGGTTTTGTGCTTCCCTGCTTTAGTTTTCGTTTGCTTACCTTCTTCCTTTTTTTGTCTTCTGCTTTGTGTGCTTTGTGACCTCTTTTGTCCTCCTCATGGCCAGCTATCACTTTTTTCTTTTCCTTCCCGTTTCAGCACCCACAGTGTTTCGGCAGTGGCACTGTAACCAGCATTGTTTTAGTGGACACAGACTTGAACTTAATCCTTTCTGATCACTGAGGTGAAGCTCTTGGCAGTGACTCAGGCAAGAAAACCATATTTAATAATTGCAAGTTCTGCAGAAGGCCTGGGTTAGCACCCACCTGAGCACATTGCCTTGATGGACTTTCACAATAAATGACATGTTGTCACCCTACTGTATTACAGTAGTAATAAAGAGAGTAGGAGATGACACATGTGTAATTAGTGAACAACCTAATCAGCAAGAACCTTCACTTCCAGCCAGAGTCTTTTCAGGGTATCTTGTATGTGACAAACTCCATTCCAAACAGTGGGTCTTACTGGAGATCACAAGAAAATAAGATGCTTTCCATAAATATTTTTATGAAAAAAAAAGAGAAATCTTCCACTTGAAATTTTCTTTTAAGTCTGATGCATCCTCTGCTTGTAATTCACCTTACACCAACCCCACTTCTTGAAGGTGAAAATCTCTTCAGACCTTCCCTACTTCGGGCTTCAGGACATCTTCAGCTTTTAGGAGCAGATATATCCTCTGCATCTATGTGTCTGTCTGTGCTACAGTTCCATTTTGCCCTAGGGAGACCTGATGGGTTTAAAAGGAGAAACACAGATGTTCCTGAGAACACAGGGCTGTGATCACACTCGAACCTGAAACAGCTCAGCTTGCTCCCAAAGAGTGCCTACTACAACCATTCTTTAGTTTTGCCTCTGCAGTCCAATTAGCTATAAGCATATTGAACTTCTCCTGGGCTGAAACAGGAGGAGCTGTTACCTCCCAAGGTAACACCAGCCCATTCTGGATATTTACGTGTTTGGGACGCCTGACAGGCCCTTGAGGTAATGAAGGCTGGGAGCTTTGTTTGATAACTATTGGGAGAATGCTGCCATCTTTCACTCACCGTTGAGCATCCTCATGTTGCAGCCTCTCTCCCCTGAGCACAGGCAAATCCTGCTCAGGGCACTCAAGCATCATTTGATCTGCCAACAGTGGCCCTGCTGGCTCCCTCAAGCCCCTAGAGCAGCGTGATAAGGACACTGCCTATGCACGGTGCGCTTTCTGCCAAGGTGTGGGGACTATTAAACTGCGTACGACGAAAGTGAAAAAACCCACTGTGATTTTTCTGTCTATATGTGACAAAAGAAATACCAGAGCTGACTTTTTAAAGCTATGCCTGCCATTATTTTCTCTCATTTTTGGGGTTTTTTTTATTCATTTTACGTAGTTCTTTTCATTCATATAACGTCCTGCATTTAATATTGTTTGAACACTTACATCTGTAACTTAAAAATACATGCTCTGTAATCATTTTCATGGTTAAATCCATTGAAACTCAAATGCTCCTAGAGGTGAAATCTGAAAAGAATATGGGTCAAGCTGAAGTGAGTCCTTTATGAATTTTAATAAATATTCACTGATTTTTAAAATAATTGTTCATTTCTGAAGCGTTCATGTAAACGATTTCAGAACAGTATTTTGAAGAAGTTGTCATTGAAATGTTCCAGAACTTGATAAATAAGAAAAGAACGGATTTAATTTCAGAAATACTCTAGTCTTTGGGTCTCTGAAAAATTTAATGCAAAACCCAGCATTGTCTTCTTTTACCATTGTGGTTTGAGGTTAACGTGCCTAGCCCTAATTTCCTTTACTGGAATTCAGCTGTCAGTTTATTGGTAAGTGGTAATGTCATGTTTATTCACATCACTGTGCCAGCTGAGATTTCTGTCAAGCTTCACCATACTTACATGCAGGAAATTATGCAACTTAGTGTAGATTATATTTTTACTGGTATTTTAAGAATTAGCTAATCAAAAATACAAAATTATCTTAAAAAGGCATTTTATTTTAAAGATTTGAATAAAATATAAGACCTTTCATTTTAGTACACTTGAAATGGTTTTGTGCATATGAAACCATATGTTAAAGGCAGCTGTGTAAAATCTCAGTACATTTGAAAGCTATAATAGATGTAACATTAGGGTCTCTTTTCTTTGATTCACTCTTTTATATCTTCTCCGTTAATATCACTTTATAATATGTATATATAAACATAATTGTGTAAGGAAAAGGCGAAGCTGCTGCTTTTATTGTAACCCACAGAAGAAAACCTCACCTAAAGATCTTGGCTGTTACGTTCAAAGGAAAGGCAGGCAGTGTCATCTCCCACATAACAGCAGACTAAGAACCAAGCATCTCTATTCTGTTCCTTGTTTCACCTTAATTAACTGCATGAGGTCAAGTCGTTTCTTTTTACTGGGACTGAGCCAAGGTTCTGCTTCGTATCAGTGGGAATTTCACATATTCTTTATCGCAGTCTCTCTACGTTCAACGGTCTGAGTTTCCTCAGGTTTTGGTGGTGGTAACTATCAGTTTTGTAGTGCTGGCTTGTGTTTCTGTCTCTTGATACCTGCAAGTTAAAAAAAACAGAGTAGATCTGCTAGTTTAGCAGTTGGTGTCGATCTGGACCTCAGCACTGCTGTAGGATTGGAATGGCAACCTCACTTGGAATGCAGAAGTTTGGATATGGTTCCACTTACTGACTGCTAAATTAATTTTAGTAACTGCAGAACATTACAGTGAAGGCTTCCCACCACTGTTCCTCCTGAATTTTTTCCTGCTGAAAATCAAGAATGCAGACCTGAAAATCTTTTAGTGGTAATAGCAACACAGTTTGCCAAGTTTCTAGATATTAAAATAAAATAAGCTCATTTTGTAAAGAAACTAGTTACATATCTCTCTTATTGAGATCTATGGGAGCTATGGATCACTGGCAGGTACTTTCATTTAGATACCTGACTTCATACACTTGAGGCTGGAAAATTTGTCACATATGCATCAGCAAATTCACTTTTTTTCCATTTGGAAGATTATGCCATTTACATTTCTCTGTGCAATATATAAAGCTATAGGAGTAATTTTGTAGGCTATTCTGTTGTGAGTGACTAGCACGCACTTCAAAGAACCTTTTAGTTCTTCCTTGGTAAAGTAACTCCATATCAGAAAGTAAAAGAAATAATGTATTCGATATGGTTTGTTCAATTTTCAGGTAGAGCAAACAGACGTTAAAAGTACATGCCAGAAGGAACACTGTTGGATGTAGATCCTGAAAGCCTGCAGGGCAAGGCACATGTTTTTTCAAAACTGTAACATATTTACTTCTGTTGGTTATTGCTATTCTAATATTAGTCTACATCTTCTGTTAAATCATATATAGAGCTATTTTATGGGACCACTGTTCCATAGTTAGGGACCTTAAGTTAGGGACCAATTTGGAGAAAAAAAAATTGATGCTAAGCAATTTCATGAGAGTATGAATCAAAACTGACTTTAGGATCTTACAAAATCGAATTATTTACAGAAATGAATTAGCTTCAACTCCTTCCTTACAACTCAGTTCACATGAATGGTGTGCATTTTTTTCTTTAATTTGCCAAGAGCAAGAAGAATTAGTGCAATTTTGGTGATGTCTGAATATGCTTTACTGTAATTTCTGAAAACCAAAACCAAACCAGAAGTCATAACTACCTAACTCTTCTTGCACAGAACTAGATCTTTACTTGTTCTGCCCAAATGAAAGATCAGAAATATAGGTAAATGCATTGTGTGACAACATGTGCATATATAGTTTTAAATTATATTTGAAACATGACATACAAATTAGACATCATCAACAGAAAATTTCATCTCATCTCAGTCGCTTTCTGTCCCTCCTTCTTTCTATCTCCTGCCCCTGAGCCTGCTGGTAAATACAAATTAGAAAGGATGTATAAAATAAATAACTTCAAAAATTCCCTGTTGAATCTATAGTTCTACCAATCAATGGTGTGCAATCTCATTCAAGTCAATTATGCTCTGTGGTGTGAATGCCTTCCAACCACACTGGGATGACAGTAGGTACTTTAATTTTCTGTGGCACTTTATGGTTTCTGCTTGTCATGATAGATGTACCACTTTGTCAATATTGAATCAAGAAACAATTAAACTTCATGAAAACATTCAGGACTCCATCCTCAGCTGGTAAAAATCAGCTGTAGTGAATGCAATCAATCCATGCTGATGCACACCAGCTGCATATAGAACTGTGAAAGTTTAGTCTAGTCCAGAGAAGAGATGACAGAATTTGACCAGATGTACATCGTTTCATACTGCAATTGATACAATGCATATTTGTTTATAATGAGGACTAACACAGAAGTAGTTAATGTGCATTTAATGTATTTTTACTAGTATTATCTGATGAAAATACTAGTAAATAATGAAAATAATGAATTGGTGGTGGTTGTAGATGGAAAGTGGAGTGTAAAGCCACAAAAGAAGGTATTGTTATGCATAAACACACATGATACCATACTTAAACTCTTTTATTTATTTATTTCAGGTAGCTAATCAGGTTGTTCAGGCCCTGCTAACTCAAAAGGTAAGTTGTGGTTTGGGTATTGTGGCATAACTTTAAGCTTGCAGATGTTCATTGTTCAGTTGAGAGATACGTATTTTTATACAGTATACATTTTTAAGCAGTGTTCACACATTTAATTACCAAGGCTGCCACTTGTCAGGCCCAAAGTCAATTTTTTTTGTAATCCAAATGAATAAAGATGCGTTAGACTGTACATCTTTAAGGCTCAGTCATGTAGGACCCATATCCAATTTTTCTTGTTTACCTACATTGAGACAAAAGCATCTGAAAATCCTTCCTCCAGATGGTGATTATTCCGTTCCCTATCCATAACAAGTTATGTTGCTCCCACCATCCACTCTTCTGGAACATAAACCAGATGAATTACAGTGCATAACTGGCATGCTCACTCATATTCAGTGGAAGGAAAGATGTCCTGGTGTGGGGCTGTTTCTCTGAGTTAAAGAGAAGTCTCCAAGTATAGAACAGGGACTCAGCTACTCTACTTGGGGGCTAGGGACTAGCAATAGAGAACATGTATTTTCTCTTAAAAACCTTTAGATGTCCTCCTGCTCCATTCTCCTGAGTAAGCAGAGAAAGTATTGTGCAGGCAAGATTCTTGTAGGGTGGCTGCAAACTTGACAGAATGAGAAGATTCACTATGGCTTCTATAAAGGTCTGTTACGGATCAAGACATGGCTGAAGTTCCTGTTCACCCTCTGAATGGCTGGATGTGAAGTATTGTTGTTTCAGACAGAATCTAGTGGAAGGAGTAAAATTCAAAATTAGCTTACTAAAATGAGGAAGTGATCTGGAAAAAAAATTAGGGTGAAATTAAACAGAGAGCAAAGCAAAGTAATACATCTAAGCAGAAAGAATCAGCTGCCCAGAGAGGGTAGGGAATAACTGGTAGGACAATTCTACAGAAAAAGTGATCTTGTTGAATGTGATTTCGGGATGTCATTTTGGTGGAGGGAGGAGGGAAGGCAAATAAAATAGAAAGATCTATAATAATAAGCTATGAAGCCTTCAGTATTCATTAAATGATCCTTTGTGAGATCTAGACCACTTGATGAATGTGGCATTATTAAAATGCTTTGGATCATTTAGCTTTAAAAAGACGAGTCTGAAAGAGACATAAATATAGTCTTTTAATGTAGATAGCACAAAGAAGAATATAAACTGCTTTGTCTACGGTGAATGACAGGACAAGAAATAATGTTCTTAAAATGCAGCAAGAAAACACCAAGTTAAGATAATCAAAAAACTCTGCCATACACCCAAAAGCTTTCTAGATGAAAATATAGTGAAGTACTGGAATAGATTTTGAGGCTTGACTCCAAAGCCTCCTTTGTGGGCATCATTCAGAACAGCAGAACGTCATTCAGAACGCCCCCCCCCAAAGGGGCCCAGCAGGGACTGAGGGTGACAGCAGGGTAGGCAGGGTGCTGAGCACCAAGCGTCAGGGTCAGGCCTGGAGGCAGTGACCGGGGTCAGCCTCGGTCCTCTGTTCGCTGGCCAAGTCCGTGAGGAGGGGACAGGTCCAGGCAAATCCAAGCCGGGGGGCTCAGGCTGGAACAGACCACCTTGAACTCTGCCAGTGAAAGTCCTCACAGTGGGGAGTGGGCCCTGACAGCAGGAGAGACAAAATTCCGCAGCGATAACCGTCTGCGTCTTAGCGAGTGGTAAATAGGTGCAGAAGGTTGCGTTTGGCCATCTGCGTGTCTAGGAGAAGGCTGGATACTTCTCAGCTCCTTGTCAGGCAGGTATTTTGTGTATCAATTTTATGACATTCTGGATAGATGAAAAGATGCACAGGGAGATGTTCTGACCACGTTAGGTCTGCTCTTGGGTATCCTGCCCTGAAGACAGAGATGTCTACGTGAGCTGTAGGGAAGTGATGCAAGAGACTGAAGGGCGCTGTTGCCTGTTCCGTAGATAACACATTCCTGTGGCCAAAAATAGCATCAGGAATCCCCTAAATCTCTTCACCTGACATCAGTGGCCACAAAAAGCCACTCAGCTGTTACCACAGGTTAGGGTTGAAAGCATCCTGGTTCGATCCCACGGCTTTTTGATGCACATCCAAGCCGATTACTGGAGAAGAGGGATACTGCCTTACAGCGACTGGCCGTGGTGTAGCTTGGAGGTGATTTGTGCAAACCACAACATATGGGGAAGCTTGCACTGTTGCTGTCTGCGCCGTGTTACTCTTCCCGTACTCTGTACACATATGCTGTACGGTCTGTGTATCGTCAGAGGACTGCACTGTGCAGAGCTACTGCTGTAACACCTTTCAGAAACATAACTTCAGCTATTTTTAGAGAAGTCCCAAATCCATGTTTCAGTACAGCTTAAATGGAAATGGAGGCATTTTCTTGTATTGATATGTACAAAAACCTCATCCACATTTTGTAATATAAAAGTATATGTGATTAAATATTTACCAGAGGGTTAATCTCAATATATTAGTCTCTAGTCTGGGAATATTATGGTTGTTTCCCAGGTGAAGAGAGGAGCTTCCTGAGTCCCTTTGCAAAGGCATCAGACATTTTGATGACTACACACTTTTTCAGTAATGAAACCAAAGAGTTCATATGGATACAATAAAACCAGATTTGAATACGTTTAATAAAGTGATTTACTTGGTATTGATGGGATTTAACAGCTGCTTACCTATTACTGAGTAATAACAGCTAATTTAATATCCCTAGAAAGAGAAAAGAGGGTACTCTTCTAAATGCTAATGAATATTAACTGTTACAGTGCTCCTGACACCATTCATACAAGTCCTTTTATAAGAAAAGACAGGAACACAATAGCATACAAAAAAGAGGAAATTGGACTCCTCACACCAGTCCCAAACAGGTAGATATCAGAATCCAAATAGTGACTAGTAAACAGATAAATCTCCCGTTGTGCAGCTGAGCAGTAAGACAGAGCCAGTCATGCCACAGTGAGATAACATACCTCTGGGGCATAGCGAGACATGAAGAAAAGCTGAGAGCTTTCAGAAAATGGAGTGATTTTGTACAGTAACGCACACTGCGTACGCTTTGCTGTGAATTTGAAATTGTCCCTCAAGGACTAATTTTTTTTTAAATTAAGTACATGCTGTAATATAACGAATAAAGTGCTGTGTACTCACCAGTATGTAAAAGGACTGTGATTCCACCGAGAGATTCTGGTGACACAAATTGAGTGAGCAAAGCTTGAGTGATTTATCAATGTCACTGAAACCTTGAAATGGAATTACGGTCTTAAATGTGCACTTTTCAAGGATAAAATTTGTTACAATACTTACAGAATTTCTTTAATATGAAAGGCTTGTTTTTACTGTGACTGTGGAGAAACTATATTAAATTGAGATTTGTGCTGAATTAGCCACACAGCAAATTTTAACAGTTCTGTGTAGCAAAATTATCTGGATTTTCTGCCATTTACTAATAGAAAATTTACCTCTGGGAAATTTAAGAAGTCAGAAAACCAACAAAATTCTTTGAGCTAAACCTATATGGTCTGATATTTACTGAAAGCATCCATTCTTTCTCCTTCCACCCAAAGACTTCTCCTATCACATGAGATGATAGGAGTGCGGGGAACTGGATTTTTTTTATCATGTAAGACCTGGATCAGCAGTTTGAAGTTACACCACTTAATGAATCATTTTGTGATCTGTGTATCTGCTCTTTGCATATTGCCCTCCTTCACAGGAGCGTGTTCAGGAAAATACTTTTTTACTACAGGTTCTCTGTGAAAGATTTCTTCTTCATTTTCATCAACTAAAAAAAAAAAAGTTAAGGGTTAAAACAGAAGCATCTTCAGAGGAAAAGAAGCATATTTCTGGAACCCCTAATGAGGGCATTGAATCCCATTTTGTAGAAGAATTGAGTTTCACACTGAAGAGAAAAAGTCCGAATAGAGAGATGCTCGGGTATTACTAGAGTGAGACCACAAGAATACCGTAGATATTTGGGACTTTACTGTCTTAATAGCTGGTCGTTTTGCCCACGGGAGGGGAATTACATGCTTCAGGCATTTGGTAGTTGTATTAATTGGTTATTTTAGGACTTCAGCTTTCTAAACTCAGACTTTATTTTACCAGAATACTGCTACCTTTATGTGCCTCATTTCTCCTCTGGGCTGTGTGTGGCATTACCACTGGCACAGTTTATAGCATCTGGGCGGGTAATCTACTATCTTATATTTCACTTTTTACAGGAAGTCTGAAGTTTGAAACATAAATCTTATGGGTTTAAAACTGTAAGATAGGAAGGTTTTGAGCAGAGGCCTGGCTAAGATTTAAAATTTTTCTACATTGTTAGTTTGTCTGAATCATTTTTCCCTTTAAGTGCACTTAGTAGTGTTCGAATGTTAAATCCTGTTGTAACAGCTAAGGCTCTGTTTTAAATTCTCTGATTATTTGTGAAAGGCAGATAATGATGGGTCTTGATGCTTGCAGTTTCCTAACAGAGATTGCCTTGTGCAGGACCAGAGATAAGAGGTCTCCTTGACAGAAGTCAAAGCCTTAGGGCTTTACAGAACATCAGATTCAAGATTTTATGGGAGTCATGTTGGAAGGCTCCAGCAATTTTACTTGAACAGCCACTTGACAGCCACCTGAAATATTTAGAAACTATCAAGAGAAAATAACTGCATTCATCCAGTAGCATCATCAAATCTGGTACATACTATATGCATAAAAAGATGTTTACAATTTTCTGAAAGTCTCAAGATGAGCTTATTTGATTGTGTTCACCTCATAACTTCAGTGCTGCTTACAGCAGAGGCTAGAGCAACTATAGGCAGGAATTTTAGCTGTATCTGACTATAGTTTCCTCCTCTGAGTTGTTTTCTCATAAAGCCAGGTCACCGTGTTGAGAATGGTATTGACAGGACAGCATATGGGGATCCAGAGGCCTGTTTCTCCACCTTCATATGGTGGAAAGTAATAGCAGCTAGGCAATACCACAGGGCAGCAACTGTCCTAAATTTAAAGGAATATGGAAAAGTATTTTTGAGATTTGATTTTTTTTTCCAAATAAATCTAGATATGGCTGTAGCTTAGTATTGTTATATGTAATCTTTGTTAGGAGATTGCTCTTCCTGATTTTTGAAGTCCTTACACCTTAAAATTGACAACCGCACAAATTATGCTGAAAGGCTGAGAGTCAGTTTCTGCTCTCTCTCCAAAGTCCTCTCTCGGAGAGAACCCTGTATTCCTTCAAGCAGCTGGGAAAAGCACATCTTACACTGAAGATTAGAGAGATAGTTAGACAGACAGACAAACAGATAGTTGCTGTATCTGGAAGCCGTTAATGGCTTGTTCGTGATGAACCTGACTCAGCCTTGGCTACAAGACCTGAATCTTTCACTTTCGACAGTGATGTCCTGTGCCTAAGATGCAGAGGCTTTACACTCCACTTCTGCTTCTAATGGCCTATTTTAAGGCTTTTAGGCACCTCATGTTGGAAGTCTCAGGCAGGATGATATTACCACATGTGTCTGGTGCACCAGCATCTTACTATGGCCTAGCCAGCTCTACAGTGGGAAGATACGTTCACAATATGCCAGCCAGCAATGCTGATTTGGTTGTTCCAGAAAAAGCAAGAAGAGGTTCAGACATCAGAAGAGTACCTTGAAGGCACTGTACCACTTTGAACTTCTTCCTGGTTTGGCACAGCTTATGTCTTTTTCCTTAGCTTATGCTTACTGCAACGTTCATATCTTAATTGCTGATTTCGGCTTTGCGTTGGCTGCAAAATGAAACACGTTGCTAGCAAAGTCATTTTTTATACTAACAGAAAACTCCAGAAGTTTGCGTCAGGTAGCTACTGTTTTTCATTACAAGATTTTTTTTTTATGTTATCCTGTGATGATTAAACAACTAGAGGAAATAAAGTAGCTTTTTTTTCTCACTCGTATTATTTTAAAAGCTGTATATGCCTTTCTTATTAGCATCTGACATTACTTAGAGCTTTTTAAGTACTTCTGTTACCGGCTTTCTAATCCTCCTATTTTCCCTTGTGCTGCAGGATCTGAGGGAGGAATGTATAAAGCTGAAAACAAGAGTTTTTGACTTGGAACAGCAGAATCGAACATTAAGTGTGCTTTTCCAGCAGAAAGTCAAACCAGCTTCTGACCTCCTTCTTCAGGTAGGAAACGTCATTGCAGAAATAAAGCTATGAGCTTTATATTTCTTAAAATTATAAAGTATTTTTCTTCTTTTTAAGGTTATATCAGTAAAAGGGAAATGACAGTTGATAGATTTAATATGTTAGAAGAATATCCCTTATCTATAATCTGATACCATTGAAATTGAAAGTGTACACCAGTGAGCTATGACTATGTATTACGTGCAAATGTGGAGAGAGGAGCACACCTGCAGAGTAACTTACTTTTTTAGGTTCTTCTTCACTATGATAAATGGAATGATATCAGTTCATTATCCCCCTGCAGGGGAGAAGCTCAGATTCCTTAACATTCTGCTTGATGGTGAACAGTGTAATTTCCTGTGAGAAGGCAGCCCATTCATTTAACTTTTGCCATATGTGTTATAAGAGCTTAAGTACATCTTCACAGGCTTACAGCCATGTTTTTTTCCCTCCGGTATTTTGTGGGAGAATATAGCTGACCCATCTCCCACTAACCCATGTCCCACTCCTTTGCCGTTCTGGAACAATAAGATATGTAACAGTATCCCTTTTCATTTGGCAAAGGCCGTAACTGTGAATGAATCCATCACTTTGTTGTCTTTTTGTAAAAGTAGAATTGTACTGCAGAAGTTACAATGAATGTGACTGTGATCTAGGAGAACAGCAAATTAGGACTAATTAAAACTTTGCAGGTTTCTAACAATGGGAAAATTCTGGTATTAGTAATGTATGTTGTTTCTTATTAGAGAAAAAATCATTCATTTTGGAGGAGAAATTTGGGTCATGCCAGCCAGGTAAGGGAAATTAAATATATATCCCATTTAAATCCTCTGATGTTGTGCATTGCTATCTCAGAGTAAAATCTGTACCACACGCTGTTGCTCTTCAGCTGAGGGCTGCTAACCCTATCAGCTTGGGCCATTTATTGAGGAAACATGGTCTCCTCACCAACTGCTGCCTGAAGGCAAGAGAATCCCTATGGTGAGGGCAAATAGCTATATCTACTTACTGTCAAAATCTGAAGCACTGACAGTGGTGCGAGGTCAACATCACGGGCATCTGAGTTCTTGCATTATCCTCAGGTTCTTGTTCTGTGTTTTGATTTTGTGTTAATTTAGATATTGCTGAGTCAGGACCTTCTCTCTTCTGATTTCTTCTCACTTGCCCCCCATTTGTTTTCCAGTTTGTTCATTCCTTCACAGTGTCCTGTATCGGACTAATTTATCCATTCAGAGTTTCTGACACATCACCACAGCATGGACCTTTATTGCTCTCTTTTGCTTTTGACAGTCACATCGCCTGCTCCTTCTTTGTTGTTTCCCCCTTCCCTTCCCTTCCCTTCCCTTCGCTGTTGTTTTGTTTGGAGTTTTTTTCCTTTGTTTTATAGTTTATTTTCTTTTAAACTGTCTCTTGTCTTGGAAGTTTATCTTCCAATCTCTGAATGTATAAATTTTGCCTCTTGAATTTTGCCAGCACTTTTTCCCCCTTCCCTTCCCTTCCCTTCCCTTCCCTTCCCTTCCCTTCCCTTCCCTTCCCCTCATACATTGCACATTCTTTATTACAGATATGGCTCTTTCCAATTTCTTGTGTGGCAGCAATAAAACCAGATTATTCTGGGAATGTTATAGAAGCGTTAGATAACATCTGAAAAGTGGGATCAATGCTCTGACTTGAGTTCATTGAAGCTGGATTGTGTGACAGGTGTGAAAGAAGTTGAAAGAGATGAACCTGCATCAAGTGGAAGAAAGAATCAAATGATCGCAGGTTCTCCTGAGGGAATCAAGCTATTTTACATCATTGTTCCTGCACAGTTTGGCAGGAACTAATGTGTATAGATTTTTCTCCCTCTTTTCACTTGCTTTGTCTTTATTGGGTGAGGAAGAAAGAGAATTAAGATCATTTGCAAAGCCCAGGTCTTGCAGACAGCAGCAAAATTTGCTGTTTTGTCCCTGTTTTTTGCTGTCAACAGATTTAACCCCACTGGGGAAAAAAAGCAGAGAAAAAGTTGCAGTATACATCAGAAAACGTAGAACTTTCTGAGTTTCCAGAAATTTATCTATCCTCTAGCTGTACTCTAGACTTGAAAAAATGGCATGTAGTTTGTGATCTTGCAGCCTTGTGGTGTAAAATCTGAAGAAGGGTGTTTCTTTAGGCTGAAATTAAGCAAATACTGTTGTGTGCCTGCATAGAATTGAGGCACAGTTTGGATCACGTCTTCTTGGAAATGCACACATCCCACATTTAGGGCAGTAGCTAAATATTTGTTTAAATCTGTCACTCTACAGAAGAGTACTAAATATGTAATTAAGGACATTCCTGCTAAATCATGTCCCTAATCGAAGTGAATGGGCAAATACTGCTACCTGGCGGGGAGGGACCTGGTGTTAATTTCACCTTTCCTGTACTGCCTCATAAAATATAGTTCAATTTTTTTAAATGTTGATCTCATCCTAGGGGTATTCACACTCAGTACAACTACAAATTTTGAAGAATGCTGCAGAGGAGGATATAAGCTGAAAATAAATAGTATTAGTTACTTTTTCTGCATATCAGCTTCTGTGATTTGGTTGTATATTGCCATCAAATTATTCTTTAATTGGCATTAGAAGACTCTTGTATTAAAGAATAAACTTATTTTTAAAACGTAGACATTCTTGACATCTCAGACTTAAACAGAAATACAGATTTCTTTCTTAGTTGTTAAAAATTCTTACAGATTTCACCATTATCCTGTTGGGTTTTTTATATTTGATTTTAAGCAAATAAGAGATGATTCCTGTGTCTTCTTCAAAATCAGATCATTCACATTTTTTTCAATGAAAAGATTGATACAAGTGTTTTGAATTTGACTGCAGAGTAATGACCCACATGCCATACTGATTGCCCTGTGTTGTGTTTCCTTGTGCTCCTCACACAGTTCAGAAGTAAAATTGATTGCTACTAATTTTAAAAAATATCATGTAGTAAGGTTTTCATGGCTGCTTCAGGAATCCTTCACTGTAAGTACTTATGAAATTAAAGGGCTTAATAATATTTTAAAAGAAGTAAGCATGTTTTCTTGGGGCACACCGTTGTATATATTGCCATGTAGATTCCTTGCTACTAGAATTTTTGGTGTGCTTGCTGTCATGGAAGGATTAAGTAATGCAGTCTCTGATGCAAAATGTGAGGAGGAGAAAGAGATAACTGAGGTGCTTTTTGTCACCTCTGTGATACTGTGGACAATTTTAAGACCTACCCTGTCTTTCTGGGAACATTCTTTCTAGCTGAAGTGTGTGATTTACAGAGCCGGTATTAAAGTAGATAAATAAAGGGTGGCCCGATCATGTTGGGGTTTTTTAATTTTGTTTTTTTCAGACCATTTTCTCTCTGAAACAGCTTTCTTAAAATGATGAGGCCTTGAAAAAGTGTTTCTATCTCAGCACCACCTAAGGAAGAGCAATAGTTTTTTTTACAACCTAGCACAGACGAGTAGCTTCTGCCCAAGCAGCCTTCATTTTCTTCCATTAATGTGGCTGCTAAAAAGTGATTAAATTCTGCCTGTCATAGCGAGAGATGTTTGGGAAAGTAAACCAGGAGCACTATTTTAGTGAGCTACCTAAATGTAAATATCAATATCAATATATTTCTGTCTTCACCTTATTTTTTCTAAATGATACAGTGTTTTCTTCACAGAAACCTGAAACTACTAAAATCACCAAAACCATCAAAGTTTTTTTCCACTTCTGAGCCCCAGTCTCGCAGACTTGATTTAACTTTATTGGGTTTAGACTGCTCAGTCTTGAGTGACAGATCTTTTCACAGATCTTTTTCTTGTAGTTAGCCCTCTTTTTCCACCTGAAAATATAACTAATGACATTAAACCTGATGCTGATATTACATGTCCTCCTTTTACAATAATGATGACTTGTGTAAAGTTAGTGACGTTAACAAGGGTCAGGGTTTGCCCTCTGATAGGTGTCACCATAATTTGTTTATATTGTTTATCTCTGTTTACATAAATTCAACATGTTTGTTAGCTGACTTGTTCTCATGGATGAAGTCTTGCTTTCGCTTTTCGCCCAGAAAGTTGCTGTCACAGTTTTTTTATAAAGCATGCAGGAGACCTTCAGTGAAAAGTGTTAAAAAGTGTCAAGTAGCAACATTTATTGAGTTGATTTATTTGATTAAATAAGTAATAAAATTTTCATAGTTGGGAAAGTATAAAATTATATTTCTAATCCTAAGATTTACAATATCTCTGATCCTGAACTATATTTTCCTTGCCATTTTATTTCCATCATAAAAATTCTACTTTATCAACCCCGGAACAAAGCAAGGAGGACTCTTGAAGCATCTATTTTCCCCTTGTCTTTCTCTGGTTAGATTAGTTTCATTCATTACTCACAGACCATGCACGTTGTTTAATTTTATGTCTAAAATTTTGTCTTGAATGCTATAGCAGAGTTCGCTGTATTCTCAGAAGGTCAATTTAAATAATAACTACTTTGTTGTAACTGCATTGATATTAGCTCTTTTAATAACCTGGCGACTATGCCCTGACATATAAGATAGAGTGTAGCTGTACATACTTAGGTGGAAACAGTTGTACAACTGAGCAGGAAGGGGTAAATTGCAGCAATGACATTATTATGTATTGGAAGAAGAAGAGGGCAATTAATTGCCCTAACATCTGACAGAAGGAGGTAAAATATCTGGTCTCAGAGCCTGGCTTCTGGTTCAGACATCGTTAGACATGATGATACCTGAAAGCAGAAGGTTAAAAGTGAAGTTGCATTGCTTTACAGAAGTCAGGTATGTGAAATATTCAAGTATTTCAGAAAGTAGGTATTTGAGGGTTTGAAATTAAAGCTGAAGATCATCACACACTGTTAGAAAACAGTTTGTCAGCAGGTTAAAGTATATTTAAATAACTGGATTGTTACATGCTGAACAGCGGTATAATTCCCATCTCACAGAAGCCAGCTACTAGTCCTGCCTTGTGCCTCCAGGCTCCTCAG